GGCTCATACGGGAAATTACCCTCTGCCTCTAATTGAAGAACATTGAACATTGAACATTGCTGAACAATCGAATGGCTCAGTCTTCGATGAGAGCCCTAAATGCGCCGCGGGAAAACAGTTGGCAAAAGCTTTGGATAATCGGTATTCCAGAATTTCTAATGCCCTTGAAGGGAACATTACCAAACAATCATTCATTCAAAATCAGCCTAGGCGTTGGATTAATCTACTGACTAATAGAACTATGTATGGTAATGCCTGAGCCGATATATCGAAAAAAGATTTCTTCGCGTTTCCACTTAGTTTCATATTTTTGCCTGATTCCATCCTGCTTACGTTGTGCAGTAGAAGCGTTTTAATAGAACTAAATGATTTCAACATTGAAGATTATCGAATTCAGAATCCATACTCGGAAAAGTGCATCTTCTACAAAATATTACAGTTTTTAACTTAGAACTTCTAATAAAATCGCATACCTATCATACAAGTTATGATATATTTCGATAGTCCTCGATAAGTTATTTCAATCGCAGCTAAGTTGACAGCGCTATCTCATTTCTCCCGGTCAAAATGGTCATTTTGCTTGTACAGTACTTGAAGGGTGAAAAATCTCTTGGTGCTTCTATGGCGATAAAAGACCAAAATTGAACGTAATCGGCAAGCGGCAAGTGAATATTCGTTGTACTTGATCCACTGTTGTCTTATTGCGACGTAAGCAATGGCTCAAGCGTTGATCGAGCACGATCCATTAAATTATCGTGTAGCATGGCCCAATATGACTTTTCCGGGGTGGGGAGATGAACAAGAGAAACGTATAAGCGTATTAGCCAAGTAAACAACCGATATATGTCATGTTGATTGGGACGTAACGTAGGCACGTCTCGCAAGCGTCGCCCCCGCATTTCAATAGGAGATTAAGACACTGGATGGCAAAGAGTATCTGATAACCTGAAAGGGACTGCCCGAAAATGCGATCAATATATTCTGATTCTAAATGTACCTCTTTATTCCAGTTATTTCTATCAAATGCTTATTCTAACATTTAATTTTCCCAGAGTCTATCGTTGACATGACTCAATTATTGATCGCTGGATTTCCGTTTGGCACAGACAGAGATAGCGCTCTAGTGTGAACTATGAAGTTATTTGGTCATTTGGTTCCAAAATGCAAAGCCAATTTAATTAGAACTCCACTTTGGCCACCTGTACATATGTTCCCACGAACACTGCTACCCGAGTTGACTGAAATGTAGGTATAGTTGCTTGCACAAGTTATTACAATACAATGTCATTTAAAATAGCACACCTACCCGCCTATTGGATAAACCAATTTGTACAGAGTGATTTTTTTCGGTTCGGTTATGCAAACGAACAAGGATATACGCACAGGACTGTGCGAACGTAAATTCACTTAAATAGGCCTGCCAACAGACAAGCATACACGTAATAGGCTTTCATTTCTTCTATCTTAACGAACATCTATGATAAATAGTTTAGCTTGTTTGCTTTTTTGCTTACCCCAGGATTCCTTCACTGAATCATTTGGCTCGGTGTTGGTCTATATTTTCCTGTCACATATTGGCCACCAAATGAATACTAAATCGGTATTTTTTATCTCCCCGAGAGAGAGATTAAAAAAGTACTCATTTAATAGATGCGCACAGTGCTTTTATGCAAATATATCAATTCGCAGTTTTCTCTCCTGCTTTGACAGATAAATCTTGTCGTCCGTGAGCAGGGTTATTGTGCGAGTGATCATGGTCGTCGTCTGAATTGTCAAAGCGTTCCGGTGCATTTACAGTTGGATCCGTGCGGATTCTGTACACCATTGGCTCGCCTCATTTCCAGCTATCTGGATTTTTTCGACCTGTTCCTGGCACGAATCGAGGTTCACACTGACTCGCGTGGTGACCACATTCGGATCGGTGTTGTCGATGAAGGCTCGGATTCTGAGACGGGTACTCAGCTGTCCTATACCTTGGACGATATATTCCCCCTGACCACGTGTCGTTATATGGGCCTGAACTTACCGTGTCCCCGAAATGCTCATGGTGTGCTGTCTCACCTGTACGGTGCGGACTTCATGCGTCCGATCAAATTGTGTGATCTTAAATCCGGATACTGGATACGCACGTGAACAAACAGAAGGTTGCCCTCTGTCCGTCTGTCGAACACGTACGTAACTGGAAATATCGATTCGCTCTGTCCGGTTCGTATACACCAGAAATATTTTCGATATTTCTCGCAAAAACAAAGCAGTTATTTAAGCTTACGTATCATCAACTGCTCGGCTGTTGTTATTAGCGCACAAATACACATCGGAATACTTTGGTCTTCTTATTACTGAACTCCGCCGAATACTGATAGATCGAGAAAATATCTAGCATTTCAAGGCACGTCCGATCTGTGCATCTCCCACTTACTTGTGAACCAATTCGGTGCCACCCCGTGAATTCCAAAGAGTAAAATTTATCGTGTCAAAATTATTTTCAAATTTTCATCCCCCCAAGCCAGTAGTTCTTATATTTTTGGTTCTGCTTTTTGTCCCGGTCACCTCAACACGGCCCAGATTTTGTGCATTCCTTTTGAGCGCTAGCAAATACCCTGTTGTGATGTGTCTTCCATTTTTATGTGCTTTCGTTATTTCATGTTTTGTAGAAATGAAGAATCGCCGTTCATTTTCTCATAGAAAGCACCGCTTATCAGATTACCTTTCAAGATTATCCAGACTCCATGTGTGATGTTGTCAGTTCAATTTACTAACCACGACGGTTTATATTTTCGCTTCAGTTTTATGTCACCCGGGGGAGAAGGGATTCATAAGTCCACGACAAATTTTTCCCACTTGTATTGCACAAAGCTACCGTAGCATTGGGTACACGACTGATCCAATATGCATCACTGTCTACCCGTACTGATCCGGTATTCTATTTAGTTTCGTTCACAGAACATCTGGAAAGTTTATTTTTGGATGCCACAATCCTCAGACGTATAATAAATTAGGGATTGAAAGAAAATATGGCATATCATCGAAGGTGGAAATTCTGTATCGACTACTACATCAAAATACGGTGGCACAAATGATAGGAAAATCCCGGTCGTGATTGTTGTTTTTCCAATGTTTTGCGGAGATTCACTAAACTCAGTTAATTGACTGTCTGCTTGGGGCTTGTGGACATACTTGGAAAACCTTCATGGTCCGTACCACTAGTAAAATAGAAAAGCCAGTTTTTCATTTTTGTACTTCTTACGGTGACACAAAGCGTTATTTTGTCACACACGCAGAGAAACGGAAGGTGCTATGATTAGCATGCGCCAAATTTCTATGGCGATTCCGCGTTGTCTCATAACCACCTGTTCTCACAATTTCGTTAAAAATGTGCACACATGAGCTTTGTGATAGAAACAAGAAGACATGGAATCAGCGGAACCACATTCAACAGAACAGATCCACTGAAATGGAGGTTGGATCTGGTAATCTCAATTAAGATTGAGCAGCAGCAGAGTTGAAAGAGAACGAGAAGTAAGCGATTTCTTTTATTCAATTTCGAATTTAGCATTTTATTACTCGCTCGTCAAAAGCCACTCTTGCTGTACTGGTCAATGACAGGAAGGGATAGTTCAACCCGAAGGAATGTGTGTATGGATAATCTGTACTACTATCACTATTGCGATGGAACAAATGCTAATTGATAGACAACAGAACGACAAACTATTGGTCATGTTCCGAGCAACTTTTTTCAACAGTTGGTTTCAGTCCACTGACAATCCTGGACGTTAACCCGAAGACCACTCTGTCCGTAAAAAGATGACTGAATGTTTCCTGATGCCGGTTATCACGGTAAAGACGGGCAAAAGGTCAATGATCGATATGCCAGCAGTGTAATACACAGGCCGCACGTCGCTACATCTGCGTTCAATTCACATTTTAGAGTCATCCGCTTGTACTCACGATCCTTATTTCATTAAGAACACCCCTGGGAATCGTTGCTCAAGTGAATGTATGTATATTTTGCATGCTCAATTAAAAACCTTGTTGAATTCAGAGCTGGACAATATTATCATAGCAGTTTGTGAAATGGTAGTATTTCGAAAAGTTGTATTGCAATTTTCGAGTCGAAGGGATAGATGATACTCGACCGAGGTAAGGAAATCTGCACTGGTAGTACACTGTCCCTGTATTTTCGTTGTATCTAATTTGAATACATTCGTGAATAATGTTTTTATACTCCTACAATTATCGAACATTTTACTACTTCATGACTGGTTACGGGCTTCCGTAATCGCTGTGTGAAAAATTCTTCATTGTCATGCTCTTATTGTCGAAAGTGGATGAAAAAGCACACTTGCACTTGATTGCACAACGGCCCTGGGAATATTCGATGTATCAGTTTCCATTCTGGTTTGACTATGCCAGAGTTGCACAATCTATTATCTGCATCTAAAATGGCAATTGGGCGAAATAATTCAACTGCCAAAAAATCCGATGATTCTCATTCTGTATGCCACATCAAATACATTTGTAAAAAAAATACAACTGACTAATTTTGTGGTCAGCGCATCGATTGATCCATTGGCACATGGTTTGGCCTGCAAGACTGAGATTCAATCTATCGACATGGCTCATGCTTTCAGTCCCGGCCAAATTTCAGCTTTTCCTGTGCGCGTAGTTTTTTCCTCACAGACGAACCCTCCCCACCTCGCTCTGCTTTACGTCACCTCTCTAGGTTGATGCTGTCTGATGGAATAGTGTAAAACACTTCTGACTCGCCGTCTGTTTGTTAGCAAACCAGTCAGATAAACCTGCATCGATCTTCGTGACTGTCCGTCTCACCCCGTTTCAGTTATTTCCATGTGCATGTTTTGTTTTCTCATCTAAATATTAATTTCTGTTGGTAGAGATCTGGCTTGTAGGTGTCAACGGAAACCGTTTACCAACGAGCAACCTCAACCCCAAATTGAACTCCAGTTTCAAACTCCGAGAATACCACATGACTGAATGTGATGGTTTCTTCCGGTCGGTTCAGCACTATACCCGTATATGTTTGCGCTAAACCATAAACTAACCGATTGACTCACACAAGTTGACCTGAACTGGACCAATCCAGGTGAGTCTGATCAGGTAGTGAATGATGCATAATGGAATGCAAATAACCTTCCTGTGATAACCACGGATCATGGAACTCAAAACAACCGAGCTGTTTAGCGGATGAGTATTTTCGTGATCCACTGTTTGTTTCACTGCTAGTGGACGCGCCTGGAAAACGTTGAAAGTACCGTTGAGACGATTCATCGTGCTTACTGGAGAACCATCAACAGTAACTATCCACCGAATCTACATGGGTTATGAAACCGTGTTGGCCAGATGCTCTACCGACTCAGACCATCCGATTGTGGCTCTTGGCACTCATTTAAATAAACCTTTGCAGCAGAACGGATAGGATTGGGTTGATCGGACAGCGGTACTGCACTTATCGGCTAGCAACGAATACGGTGGAGAAGCTCAATACTTAGTGCGT